TATTTTCTCTGCTAGTGCACACAGGTGGGTAGAAAAGGAGCTCTCTTCCCTGTTCTCTGTCAAGACACCTGTCTGGGGTGGAGGGTGTCACTGCCAGGGCAGGGGACTTCTAATGAGTTTAGACTAGAGGTACCAGAAAGGAACCGATGGGTCTAGCACTACTCCCTTCAGAATATCCCATCAGTTCCCTTGTGTGGTTAGGATGGGGATGGAAATATGTAGCTGGATACTAGCTTGCTTGGAGAGGGATGGATCAGAGGAAGTGACCTTTGTTCCAGAGCAGCTACCCCTTGTGTTTTGGACATGACTTATTTCTGGGTTGTGAAACAGGCAGCTCTCTGTGCATGGCAGCTTTCAGAGCAGACCAACAGTGCTGACTCGCAGCAGGGGGGTCACTTGCTTGCCTGATAGATGTTCTTAAAGTGTGACCCTAGCTAATGTTGCAGATAAAAGTATACAGGCTTGTGGTCTGGGAGAGGATTTTATCAGGGTTCTTTCAAGATTCAGAGACAGACAAAGCCCGATATCTTAGTCCTTCTGCAGAGGGTTGTTTTTTTGCCCAGATTGGTCAAACATAAAATTAAGCAATCCCCTTCTGAGGAACTGACTGTGGTGGGATAGGGATGGGGGTGGGAAGGGGGAACTGATGACAAGTTTCTTGGTTAACCATGGTGCTCATGTGAGCAGGAGGTTAATTGGAAGTGGGGGACGATTTGGTTGTCCTTAAGCCCTATATCAGCTGCTTGTGCAATGACACTGCCTATATACCACCTGCTACCCTAGTGATGAGCTGCAAGCTTAGCTTAAGCCCCAGGGGACATTAAGCAATCAGAAGCCTCATAAAAATGGGATAATTGTGCTAATTAGAGATCACAACCATGAAGTTGCTACATCTGGAATATGACTGAAGTGCACAGGAAGTACCGAGGTAATGCCAGGGAGCATTGGTCACGACTCCCAGCCCAGGCCATTAAATCAGGTTAAAGCCTTTTCATAGGAAACACTCTAGCTTGGAAGGGTGTATGAAAATGAAATCATGGCTCAGTGATATTCCTCGTGTTTCTCAATGGAGGTGCAGTGCAAGCCAAAACCTCAGTAAGTGACTAAGAGCTTGATCCCATTGAAGTCCCCACTGACCTCAGTAGTGCAGGGTCAGACTCTAAATGTCATCAGAACATAAGAACAGCCATACTAGGTTAGACCAATGGTCCATCTAGCTCAGTATCCTGTCTCTGACAATGACCAGCCCCAGATGCTTCAGAGGAAATGAACAGAACAGGGCAATTATTGAGTGATCTATCCTTTGTTGTCCAATCCTAGCTTCTGGCAGGCAGAGGTTTAGGGACACCCAGAGCAGGGGGTTGCATCCCTGACCCTCACTATTAGCCATTGATGGACCTATCCTCCCTAAACTTATCTAATTCTTTACTGAACCCAGTCATACTTTTGGCCTTCACAAAACCCCCTGGCAATGAGTTCCACAGGTTGACTGTGTGTTGTATGAAGAAGGACTTCCTTATATTTGCTTTAAACCTGCTGCCTATTAATTACATTGGGTGGCCCCTGGTACTTGTGTTATGTGAAGGCTTGCTAGAGCTTATGCACTTTTCTGTTTTTCTCGGTAAGATTTGACTTCTAATTTTTAAAAGCCTCTTTTACTCTGTTTAGCCATGGTGGAAATTTTTTGGTCCGCTTACTTTTTAAAATATATTTGTGGCATACATATAGTTGGAGCCTCTATTATGGAGGTGTGGGTGGGTGGGGGTTTAAATCCATGCAGCTTGCAACTATTTCATTCTTGTGATTGTTCCTTTTAATTTCTGTTTAACTGGCCGTCTCATTTCTGTGTAGTTCCCCTATTTTGAAGTTAAATGCTACTGTGGCGGGTTTCTTTGGTATTTCCCCTTTACAAGGAAGTTAACTTTAATTAAATTATGTGCTATTACCAAGCAATTCAATTGTATTCACCTCTTAGACCAGATCCTATGTACTATTTAGGATTAAACCAAGAATTGCCTTGCCTTGTAAGGTCCAGGACTAGCTGCTCCAAGAAGCAGTCATTAATAGTGTCTAGAAATTTTATCTCTGGATCGCACCTGAGATGACATGTTCCCAGTCAATATGGGGATAGTAGAAATCCCCCCGTTATTATTGGGTTTTCTGTTTTTGTAGCCTCTCTAATCTCCCTGACCATTCACAATTACTGTCACCATCATGGTCAGGTGGTTGGCAGTATATTCCTATTGCTATACACTTATTACTCAAGCATGGAATTTCTATCCAGAGAGATTCTGTGGTACAGTTTGATTCATTTAAGATTTTTACTGTATTCAACTCCATGCTTACTTACATATAGTGCCACTCCCCCAACAGTGCAATGTACTGGGTCAGTCCTATATATTTTGTACCCTGGTATTACTCTGTTGTATTGATTATTGTTGTTCCACCACGTTTCTGTGATGCCTGTTATCAATATCCTCATTTAATACCAGGCACTCAAGCTCACCCTGTCTTAGTATTTAGACTTCTTGCATTTGTACACAAGTACTTATAAAATTTGTCAATATTTAGTTGTCTGCCTTCCTATGATGTAACTGAATAGAACTCTTTTGATTGACTGTTTCTCTTCAGTTCCTACCTGTACTTTATCAACTTCTATCCTCTCCTCCTTACTAGGATATAGAGTATCCCCTTTAATAAATCCTCCCTTAAGAGATGTGTCTGTCCGAATGTTGTGCTGCTCCGCACCTGTCAGTTGTCCCCCAGCCCTTAGTTTAAAAACTCCTCTACAACCTTTTTAATTTTACATGCCAGCCTGTATATCTGGCCTGAACTGCAGCATCTTCCAATAGGAGGATTTTAGGAGTGTTGCCAGGTTTGGAAGACTAACAAGTACCCAGTGTACTGGCTTGTGGGAACACAAACCAGGACTACAAGGGACAGTGGCAGATCGTATCAGTTTATGCCCCCTGTTTGGACCTGCAAGTGAGGATATGATGTGCATCTTTTTCTTTGCTACTTCTTCATAACATGTCTTCATACAAGCTAGTGAAATCATGTGTTGGGCATGGATATGAGGCCTGAATTACAGAACTAGGTCAGGGGTGTTCTGAGCGGAGGCTCTGGTTCAGGTCCATCTCTAAAAAGAAATCAAACATTAAAATTGTAACAGAAAAAAGATGACACTTACTGGAGGAGTCCTTGGCTCCCCTTCATATTTCCCCGCCATGCTAGGCCCATGTGGCCTTTTATTTTTCATGATCTAAAGGGACTAGTAACCATGGTAAAGTCAGATTATTTCTATCACTGGTGGGTTGAGCTGTACTCTACTATGAAAGTTGGTAGGAAGGATGGCTTTGTGGATAGGCTATTGGGTTGGAAAGGAGACTTGAATTCAATTCTTGGCTCAGTCACAGACTTCCTCTGTGACCCTGGGCAAGTCTCCTTTATCTACCCTATGCCTCTCTTCCCCATCTGTAAAACAGGGATCAAACCATGAAGTTGGATAAAATCCATTAATAATTAAGAGTTGTTCAGATGCTGTGGTGATGAGAGCCACATAAGTACATAGATAATACAGCATTTTTTCTCTCACTAACTGTGGACCTCAAAATTGCCTTATTCTACTTGCCATCTTGCCATTCTCTCCCCCTGCAGTTCTGACTGGATTTCAGCAGCCACATTCACTATGCTGCTTTATTTCAGGGTTTTCTCTGGAGGGGCTCATCACTGAGGTATCCCTGTCTCCAGTCATGCATGATTTTAGCCTCTTCGCTCCTGAGAGGTGGTATTAGCTCCATTTTAAAGAGGCTGAAAGTGGGACACTGAGGTAAAGGGGCTCGCCTGAGGCCATCCATGGGTGTGTGATAGCACTTCATGGAGTTACATACACACCCAAGAGGAATCAAAATCAGGCCCTAGCATGCTAGGGAGGGGAATCGGAGGTACAGATTTTGTGATGGAGGGCATTAGGCATTGGCCTTTAAACCTTCTGGAGATCTGGGTTCAAATCTTGATTTAGGCCACAAATAAAGTAAGATAAGTTGGTGGTTTAGTCCTAGACTATTGGCCTGCATGACCACCACCACAACCAACTTCCCCACTCCCCCTTCCCAGACACACATTTGGCAGTCAGGTTTCAGAGGAACAGCCGTGTTAGTCTGTATTCGCAAAAAGAAAAGGAGTACTTGTGGCACCTTAGAGACTAACCAATTTATTTGAGCATGAGCTTTCGTGAGCTACAGCTCACTGATGAAGTGAGCTGTAGCTCACGAAAGCTCATGCTCAAATAAATTGGTTAGTCTCTAAGGTGCCACAAGTACTCCTTTTCATTTGGCAGTCAGTGCTCAGAGGCCTGGGACTGGAATAGAAGGGGATGAAGCACGTCAGTACTGAGGTTCATGGCTGGAGTTGAATAGAGAAATGATAGTACATAACAGTCCCACAGAATCACAGTTTAAATTATTGCTATAGAAAACAGCCCTACCTATGATGCCTTAGCCCTAACTTTTGGTGTCTGAAAGAATAATGTTGTGTTTCCATAAGGAAGAGAATGACAGTTCTAAGGGATCTCTTTGTAACCCCACCTTTAGTCTCCCAAAGATTGTATTCAAAGCTTGGCCCCTGAGATTGACTGAGCAAAAAGGAGAAGATACATCTGATGGCAGCAACTAAGGCAACCGTGCGTCCTTGGCCGTGACAAAACTGGGAACTTCTCTCAGAGGCAGAATCTTCTCTGGGTGACTGAGAGGAGGTGTTACTTTGTGGGAGCCAGCTGTATGCAAGTGGCAAGATGAATGTTGTCTGGCAATTGCATGTTTTTAACCACTGTCAGAAGAGTCCGAATGCTTCACAAATAAGCTAAAGAGCACGTGCTTCTCCTTACACAAACAGTCACAAGCCCTCCTATGCATACACACATGCATGTTGTGCTTGGTGCCTAGAGAACACTCAAGTGGGGTTCTGCACCATAGTTAACATTTTGAATTTGTGTCTCTCAGGTGCAGAGGATGTGTGCTTCTAGGCGGATACTGCTGCTTGCGCTCACCTTCCTGGCATACACGGTGGACTCCACGTCGGCATATGGCACTGCTGAAACGCTCTGTGGTGGGGAACTAGTAGACACACTGCAGTTTGTCTGTGGGGACAGGGGCTTCTACTTCAGTAAGTAGCTCTGGCATTTTTTTTTTTTTTGTGTTGAATTGACTGGCTACTTGGGCATCAGGGAAGCCGGAGGGGCATGCAGCAGGAAATGTTCTCCTCCAAAGACACATTAGCGCAGACGCAATCACACATGCTTCTTCATCCCTATGGATGAACAGGTGACTTCTAAGAGCACTGGTCCCACGTCCCTGATGGGCAGCTCACACTACTAGGATTCAGTTCATTTCCAGGGAGACAGAGCTCGTTCTAAAGATCTCTCTGACCGAAGGTGCCATAGTCTGGTATCAACACCCCCATGTGCCCAGCATTAGATCTAACATAACTTACCCTGGCTCAATGCACTACCCACAAAGTGAAGGCTATTGGAAATACACTAGCAGTTGTGATAAGACACGTGCAAGAGAGTAGAGAATCTATGCCCTCTTTTATGTCACCTTACTCCCATTTTGCACTGATATAAGCGACTACCCAAGGAGCGAGACAGGGGAATCGGGCCCCAAGTGTGATGAAGATTCTACCATACCGGCGGAAGCCCTTATTTTTCATGCATGTGGCTGTGCCAGAAGTGTCAAAAGGAAGCTGCCCGTTATGCTAGGAGTATTCGCTGGGCGGAAAACTCCCATATCCGAGGTGGAGCAGGGAGATTGCTGGGAAGTTGATCACACCGGTGCAAGAATGCAATTGCCATAACGATTTTCCCAAGCCATTTTCTTATTACTGCATGCTCAGTCTGTGCCCTGCACGTGTGAAAGCTTGTACATACACCCAGACACACACATCCAATTAGGCATTCTGCTTACAGTTTTACCTGCAGCTTACGGACAAAAGCTGCCAATAATAACATAAATTGATTTCAGAGGAAATGCTCATTTTTCCTTTTTTATCTGTGCAGCTCTGGTTGTCTGCATTTGTCTGTTTCAAGCCACTCCCAGTGAATTTCAAAGGCCCCAAGCATGGATAATGACCCACTGCTGAAAATAGTAGTTAACAGTCCTTTCCCAACCTGTTGCTCTATCACTGGTGTCAAAAAAAAATTGGTTATCTGCCGGCATACAGGGCAAAAATGTCTTCGGCGGCGTTCCTGGAAATATGGTAGAGACCCAATCACATCACGCTTTCCGTCACAATATCACATTGTTTTGTCCCGTTTATACTAGCAGCTAAAAGATTCAACAACTGTGAGGTATAGGAGGGAAAGGAGAGGAAGGATGAACATACTGTGGTTAGCACCCGGCCATTTTCCTCATGTAGACAGAGTCACACTTCATCCCTTACGTTGGGCAAATTCATTTCTGCAGTGAGGATGCAGCTCCACTGGTTTCAGTAGAGCTGCACCCTGAATTTGTCGCAAGAGTCTTGTTGAGGCATTTCAATCAAAGGACACTATTTCTCCCTCCCCCAGTTAAAGAATAATTCCATCTTGCTATTCGCTTGCTGACTGAACTGCTTTAATCTAATTACAGGAGTAACACTGAAAGACAAGTATAATTTGTAGGAAGATGGCCAGGAGAGGTGAAGATAGATAGCAAATGCAGTCCCTGTTATAAATTCTCCCCTCCCTTACCACCCATCTGACTTAGGCTAATTAGTGGCAATTCTCAATCTCAATTGGTAACCAACTGTATAGGATTTATTGATATCTAGATCTCAGTTTTCAGGGGGAAGGGGAATGGCTACATTTAGAAAAGAACCCACATCTCAGCTTTGAATTTCCACCCCCAAAGTGTTTTGGTCTGAACTTTGAGGTTTGGTTCAGCACAACTGATGTCGCATCAGTTCTGTTGTTTTGCCTCATCTCACAGGAGCAGAAGGAGGTTCCAAAACTTTCATAGTGCAAACCACATTGAGATTGTCTCCTGGACCCATCACCTACAATTCATGGTGGTATAGAATCATAGTGTCATAGAACTGGAAGGGACCTCGAGAGGTTGTCTACTCCAGTCCCCTGCACTCAAGGCGGGGCTAAGTATTCTCTAGAGACCATCCCTGAAAGGTGTTCTAACCTGCTCTTAAAAATCTCCACTGATTGAGATTCCACAACCTCCCTAGGCAGTTTATTCCAGTGTTTAACCACCCTGACAGGTAGTTTTTCCTAATGTCCAACCTAAACCTCTCTTTTAGCAATTTAAGCCCATTGCTTCTTGTCCTATCCTCAAGACGTTAAGAAGAACAATTCTTCTCCCTCCTCCTTGTAACCACCTTTTATGTACTTGAAAATTATCATGTCCCCTCTTAGTCTTTTCTTTTCCAGACTAAACAAACCCAATTTTTTCAATCTTCCCTCATAGGTCATGTTTTCTAGACCTTTAATCATTTTTTGTTGCTGTTCTCTGGACTTTCTCCAATTTGTCCACATCTTTCCTGAAATGTGGTGCCCAGAACTGGACACAATACCCAGAACTGGACACAGTGTGGTGCACTGTCCCTCGATTGGCCATCCCAGTGGCACAGCAGTGTAATATTAAGAATGCTACTAAGAATTTTTAGCTGTACTGGTGTGATTGAGCAGCTGATCATAAACTGTCACCATGTCACCAGCTACTTTTCTGCTGACCACTAGCAAGTGCTCCAGGGGCTACAGTTCTGGAAGCTGGTTTGGAGCACTTCCTTTCTGTTGGTTAGCTTAGCTGCAAGAGTTTGCAGTTCTAGCTACTCTTTCTGTTCTCATCTTCTGCCTTCCACGTTTCCTTCTGTCAACAGACCACATGCCAAAATTCTGCTGAGACTATAGGACCAGAGACTTGCTGTACTAGCCAATTGTGAAGAGGATAGCTCTGTCTGGGTCTAACACCTCTTCCTCTCTGTCTATATATAGTTGAGTGTCTGTCTCTCTCCTTTTGGGCGTCTTTCTCCCCTCCCCCTCTCTGGGGAGGAAAGGGAATGGGGCTTTTGTTTTGCTGACATACGGACCTCCTTTCACCTCAAGTAACCCTTTCTTCCAGTCCAAAATAAAAACACTTTTGAAGGCAGATAAGCAGCTTCATGCCAAGTGGCAAATACTCTTTTCTTCTCTCGATTTTTCTGAAGGGTCCCTGTGCCCAGGGAGAGGAAATAAAACCAGCCCAAGCCCATGTTAATCCTTTACCACCTAACAAGGGGTGCTTCATAGGACCTGCAATGTAAATCAAATTACACCTTGCAAGTCATGGGAACATGTCACTATACTGAGACACTGGGCACAGAGGAGCATAGCATAGAAACATGCTTATTAGCTCTGAAAAAGCCCTCAGTGGTATCTGAATTAGAATGTACCCTAATGATCTAAGGAACTTTCTCTTTAGTTTATCTCCTGCTCATTGTGCTGAACTGAGTATTCGGAAAATTCTGGCTTTACTTTTCAAAACTGGGGCCAGATTTTTCATAACTGCTTAGCACCGAGCAGCTCTCATTGAGAACGCTGGCTGCTCAGCATGCCATTTAAACAGTGCTTAATTTGTAGTGAAAGAGGTGCCGGGGCTCAAGCAATTAGGTGCCGGGGTTCAAGCAATTTTTTTTTTTACTTCCATAACTGATGCGGCAAGCCCAGTAGTGCCGGGGCTACAAACTGCCAAGCCTAGAGGTGCTGGGGCTGAGCTCTGGCAAGCCCTGGCACAAATTAAGCACAGCATTTGCATGCATACAGGGGAGGTGAACCTGTTGGATAATCTGGCCCCACACACACTGCTGAACTCCTCCTGCATCCATCAGAGAAAGGTCTAAACATTAAAACGTTTTGACTTATTTCATGCATCGCTTCTCTTCCAGCACTGGGATTTTCATAGGAACCCACTGCTATACATCAGTATGAAAGGAAATAATTTAAAAAAGTCAATTAAAACTAAAGCACTAGGCAGGCATCGCTGGGAGGCATAGCACTGTTGCATTTAGGTGCCTCCATTAGCCCTGGTTGCTGTAGTGTCTGAGCACCTCTCGAACATCCTGGGCTTGATTCTCCATTGCTCTGCACTGTGGTGTTGCCATTTGCACCAGTGCCTGGTGGATGCAAGATCCCATCAGATCAGAATGGCAACACTTTATACCCACTTTAGACCGGTGTCATTGACAATACAAGGTGCAAAGCAATGGAGAGCTGGGTCAATGTATTTATCTGGTGAAGCAGGGAAGTACACCGGAAGTACACAGTGTAGGGGACTAAAAATTAAATTCACTTGGGAGAATCAGAATTCCCAGCCTCAGGTGTTCATAAATAATGAGATTATCTTAAAAATATGCATTGGGTTCTTTTTTATATGCCCTCTGGATTCGGAGTCTTTAGGACTCACATTTTCAAGCTCTTCTGCACAAGATCAAGAAATTTATGAATGACATGAAAGGGGAGATTACTTAGATTGCAAGGTCTTTGGGGCAGGGTCCATCTCTTTGTTGTGTATTTGCACAGCGCCTAGCAAAATGGGTCTTGGTCCATGCCTGGGGGCTCCTAGCTACCATCGCATTACAAATAATAAATATTAATCATGACTCCCAAGAACTGCAGCTCTAAAAGAAATACAAACGATCATGGAGATTGTCGGTGTTGAAACTAACTTTAATGGCGGTGCCTAGTTAATTACCAGAGGACCATTTCTGCTGGGTTGTTAGTACACAAGGATGACACTCTGAGTCAGTGCTGGTGCTGGCAACTGAGGGGACGGGATAGATGAGAGAAATCATCTCTTTTTATAGAAACCATAAAAAAGTTTTGAACTTTTGAAAATACTTTTTTGCTTTGTCTGGTATGGTTTCTCTTGTAAGCTCTGTGGGACAGGGATTGGCATTGTCTATGTAGCAACCCAGTACGACAGGGCCCGGATGCTACCGTCGCCCAACAGCGATAAACGGAAATGGAGAGTATGTACTTGCTGCTCCCCAGGGTCCCAATCCTGTAGCCCTTACTCCTGAAGAAAACTCTGTGAGAAAGCCCACTGATGTTTAAATGGAATTCACACATGAATGAGACCTGCAGGAATAGTCCAAAGGCAACAGTTCTTCTGGGCGCACGCCTAATTCCAGGCCTTATATCT